AGGGAAGGGAAGGGAAGGGAAGGGAAGGGAAGGGAAGGGAAGGGAAGGGAAAGGAAAGGAAAGGAACTCTTGGCCTGATATTATCTATTTGGTCCTAATATTTTTTGTTTGTTTGTTTGTTTGTTTGTTTGTTTGTTTTTTAATTTAATAAGAAGCTCTTGGGATCTTTCAGCCTGCCTAACCATCAGACTTGGAATCTATTTTCAAATGATTCATTCATAGCTGTAGTAAACATTGGATTTCTTTATTACTTTGTATGCGTGAAGAGAAACATTTGTCAAGTTGTTCCTGTGGAAGAAGAGTCATACCCAAACAGAGTGCAAAACTGAGCCCAATTAGCCAGAAGACTTAAAATTTTAAAAAAGTTTGCAGGTTTGGAGTTCAGGGAGGACAGTGAGAGATTGTTGTTTTTAGAGGAGACTTATTTGAAGCAAAATTTACAGCATCATCAGGCTGACAGACAATGAGAAGGAAGCTGTAAAGTGTCTAGGCCCAAGTGGCTTAGTGATATTCTTCCTTATACAATTTAGAGGAATAGGGAAGTTTTATTGAATGATTGGCAGGCAGTTCATGGTACATGCTGACAGACAGGTTATCTCTGGTCCTTAGCTGCTAGGGTCCAAGGAAGGAAGCCTATTAGCCCGGGGCCTGTTTGCTGAATCATCCTTAAGGCTGGAGAAAGTAAGAATCTAGTTAACGGAAGAACTTTGTAAAATGATGTGACCCTGAATAACAATAAGGTGTTAAGGTATGGGTATTTTTCACCAATAGTTCAAAGTTCTCAGTAGGCAGAAAATGTGGGAATGCTAATGTTAAGACATGAGTACTACAAAATTACACACCCTGATTTTAACCATTTTTAGACATTATCTATGTGTCTTTAGCATCCATTTTGCTGCACAAAGCTAAGACTGGTTCATAAGTTAACATAGTCTATGGGTCAATTAGCCTACCACTATGCCAAAGAGTAAATAGTCCTTTGGTTAATTCTTTCTTCCTGTCATCTGAAGAAATATTGCACATCATTTCTGGACAGAGCCAGTGCTTGCCATATCCTGAATTTATTTATTTATTCAATTGTTTGTCCCTGCTTTGCCAGAGGATAGTCTGCAGTGCCTGTGTGCCCACCCCCATTCACTAGATGGAAGGAAAGAGGTGTTCATTCTTTTATAAATAAAAGCAGAAGTCTTTCTCTGTGTATTAGGAACCAGCTCCTATCCCAGTCAATGGATTATTTTGGTCAATCTAACTTTAGTTAGAAGGAGAAGAGTATTATGTCCTCTGATCATTCATACCAACAAAAGAAGAGAAAGCAGAAGGTTTGAAAACTCAATAGTGAAGGGAGCAAGTCTACATCCCCTGTGGAGAGTTTGCAGGGATTAGAGGTGAAGAGGACACAGCTGCATTTCTTAACTTTTGAATGAATAGCAATTATTCCACGAACCTTCATTTTCGATTGTCAGCATGAGTCTATGTCATACCCATCCTCACACTCCCAAACTGGAAAGATTTTAAAGGCCTCCTGCCTTTGTCATTGAGACACCTGTCACCAACGACACTGAATCAGCATCTCTAGATGCTAGGAAATACATATTCAACATGAATCTATGTAAGACACAACAGTAGGGAGGCTGGAATTCTTCACACTCCTTAAAGGGGAAAAATGAAAGAAAAATTTAAGTCTAAAATGAAACTAAAATTGTAAAGACATTTTCATCCCATACAAAAAAAGAAAAAAAAAAGCCTGATCCAATTCTCATTTGTTTACAGTTGAAATCACCAGTGTGGCGTTAACAATATGTATTACTGCAACTACTTCAAAAGTAGGTTGATTTTTTTTTTAAATGATTGAAAGGGAGTCTCAGTGAGGGAAAGACAGACAAGTTCATGATAGCTGTAGCCATTAGGTTATATCATTACAGTTAGAAATATTTTTCTAGGCTTTATTTTATTTTAGAACAAAATAATAGCTATTTCTAAGTTTGAAAGGATCTATCCATCACGTACCTGTTCTTTACGATGCATAATGAATAAATGGAGACACACTTCCTCGAATTTAGAGGACATGTTGATATTCACTCTATGCTAAGCCCCATTTTCAGACACATTTATTATGCATCCTCGCCCTCTCCATCCTTGTCCTCCTGCCTAGGATCACATCTACCAGTCGATTGCAAAGCAATGCCCATTTCCCGCTTACTCAACTATATCAAGATATTCAATTTATGATTTCTGAATTCAAAAGAAAGACATCCCCCAGAACTCCAAGTGACATTTAGAAGAACTTGGAATTTTATAGTTCACTAGCTTAAATATCTTTCTAAAGAAAGGCTAATGATTTCTTTATACCTTATTAGTTATTTGATGACACACACAAATGCATTCAATGTAAAAAAAAAAAAACCTAATGATTTTATCTAACTTATAGAGCAACAAATTCAGAATGTGTCATGTAGTATTTGCCTGCACATGAAGTTCTATATCAAATCATTTAAGACATAAGGTTTTCTTCTTTATTAGAAAATAGACAAGTAATACTATATGTATTTCCCACTATAATAGTGTATCTTATATTGGTACATCATGACTCACCAAAATATAAAAAGATCCATTTTTCAATTAAAAGAATTTCTAATACTGCCATCCAAAGGGCATATATTTTCAAGTATATTCTAATATTTTTACATCAAGTTATTGATATAAACTCTACTATCAGAACTTCAGAAGAGACTCTCAGGATTCAAAGGAAATAAAACACATCGATTTACACAACACCATCAAGAAGGAAAAGTTTTAGTATAAACGAATTCTTTTTATATATTTATTTATTTACTTATTTTTTAAATCAAATCATAATTTTTACTTATTCACACAGAGGTTATAAATACAAAAAGGCAGGATGTGGGGAAGGGGATGACACCACCAGAGCGTGGGTGTACAGGAGGAGTATAGATATCTTTCAGATCAGGGTATCAGCTGGGTGAAGATTCAGGGGACAGGTCACTATGACACTTGTCCGTATTTAAGGGAATCCTCCTCTCAGAGCCACAACAAGTAAATTTAAAAAGTTACCTTAAGTTTCATTTAATGACCAACACAAAGGTATATCAAAAAATGTGCCAATTTGAGACGCAGTGATTCAAACCTCAGCTGGGCCTTCATGCTAATGAGCTCTGAGCCAAGAAATTATAATGCTGCATGTTGATATGAAAATCAACATAAACCTTCCCAAAGAGTCCTCTGAGGAAA